AGCACTTTTCATTGGTTATTTTGATAGTTGTTGCTTTGCCAGTTGTTTTCAGCTAAACTGCAACTAGAACTTGATTTAGTTGTAGTTTGAATACAAATTGAATTTGAAATCACAACTAGGACTAGTTGAAGTTCTAGTCTTGAAATTCGACTTTAGTTTGCTTTAAGAATACAGGTGTTAGAAAAAATCTTTAAAATGTCAAAGAATTGAACCCTTTTTATTAATAATAATAATAATAATAATAGTGTAGTTTTATATAGCGCACAAATCCATCTAATGTAAGATGCTCAGGGCGCTTGAAATGTGGACTATTGTTACAGTACTGTATGCGAAGAAGAGATACAGTAGTAACAGTTAGTAAAATTTCACTAAAAAAAAACAATCTTTTAGAAAAAATGCATATGCATTACTGTAATTATCATAAACCATGGAAAAATATCGAAAGGTCCACTGATTAATCTGAGATAAGATAGTATAATACATATTCCAAGTATCGAAATGCACGCCATCGTGTCGGGATTCAATATTTCGACATTAATTATGTCATCATCAGGAATTCTTAGTTACTAGGCAAATTTAGAGGTTGTAGATCGCATCCACTGGAATGCTCTCACTTTTGTGTATACTTTATACAGTTAATAAAGTGCGCCCTCTCTAATGAGATTAATATTTGTTCTTCGCATCTCGCGCAAAATCATTTTTTTTAACAAATTTGAAATAATTCCAATGAAATATTATATAATACTAGCAACGGACAATATCATGTCAGCCGTTTTTATGTCTGATAACAGAACCCAAACCTAGCAGTCAGTGTTGATAGGCGGCTAACTTTTCCGGCTCCTACTACTATAATTCTTTGCAGACCTATCGCAAAATCAAGCATAAAAAATTCGCCTGCGTTTTTTTTTATGTGGAACACAAAATATCTAATTTCAGTCTTATTTAACATTTTTTCATGTTTAGAAATATCTAAATTCAGTTATTTTGTATTATATTTATAAATCTTTATAACATATATAAAAATCACATGCCGAAAATCTTCCCTTACCGAAGTCGGTACTGCTACCCGACCTACTCGGGTAATCAATCATCCAACCCCCTGTCACAAGTGACAGGTCGGGTGACAGATTCGCTACTTACCTAAAATTTATTACCCGCTGCCGGCGGCCTGCGAAGGTCGCGTACTAGTGTATTGTAGTTAGGCCTAGGAAGGTTAGTGATCTAGACTGAGCAAGAGATATTTCGTTTACAATGGTGAGGCACGGCAAACGTAATGAATAAGCCTACAATCTAGGCTACAACAATTAATACTCTCTTAACATATTCCTACATTTTCAATAAAAAGAAGTTATAATCGGGAGCGCATGTTTAGGTGTGGTGTGATGTCAAAAAGTGCATTGGCAGTCCGTAACAAACAGAAGCAACTACTGAATTTCCCGCAAATATTTTTTACTGGGAATTGTTCTTGTCTATACCACAGTATAATTAAAAAGAAAATAAAGATTGTGTTCACACCTAAAAATCGGGAAAATTACGATGCATAACAAACAAAAATAATAAGATTGTACTGAAGCGCCTACCCCTGGCATCCCAAGACCGAACCATTGTGTGCCCGGTGAAGCTTATTATAGTAGTATTTAAACATGTGTATTATAACGGTAGTGCACGTGTTTGAATATTAATGTATAATATTTAAACATGTTTATTATAACGGTTAATACAAATGTTTAAATGTGGTAATGTTTTAAGGCATGTGTATTTATAGTTATAATACAAAATGAATACCCTGCCGCAAAATGGACGGTTCTAAATCGCCCACGACTCAAGCACATGGGCTTCTCGTTCGTTCGTGACGTTGTGCACTGGCCGTGAGAGCGAATAATCGTCTGTAGATCGTATGTAACGAAGATACAGAATATCAGTTATAAAATCAATTTAGCATTTGATTTTAATACATGACGAGTTATTCTCTGTTCCTGAATTCTAACTGTCAACTAAATATTCATCGCTCGATTCGGAGGCCCTATAAAATAGAGATTTACTACTCTCTGAGCCTAGATTAAAATACATCCAGTTGTAAGCTGTAGAATAGCCCCTAGATAGCCGGGAATGTGAGTAAACATTGCTGTTGTACGCCACACGATCATAAAATAAATAGAATAAAGGCTAGAAAGAATCGTATTCTTATATGCCAGCATAAACACCAATACACCATGTCATTTTCAATACATATGTGTATTGAAAATGACCAAAATTACCATCTTTGTTTTTTGAGAACTAATAAAATATTGATGCATCTTTCTGGCTAGTATTCTCCCGATCGCCAAGTCACGGTTTTATGTTCGCGAAATTCGTGAAAAAAGTAAAGTAAATCCTCAGATGTACGTACAGCAACTGTCTTTTTAAAAAAAGTAAAGTAAATCCACAGACGTACAGCAACTGTCTTTTTTCATTCAGGCCCGTAGCCAGCATGCTTCAAGGGGGGGTTCTGGGCGTGGGGTCCAGGGGCCCGCCAAAGGGCCCCAGGTGGGGTCAAGGGAGGGCTAAGCCCCTGTGGGGGCCGGGCATTTATACGATTTTAAAAGCATGTATATGTCGTTTAAATGCATGTTCATGTATATTTAAATACTTCTTACACAATTTTAAAAATAAGATAAGAAGACTACTTTTTCCAATACAGGATTTAGAACGTAAATGTTTATTGTGAAACAAACTTCTTNNTTTTTTTTTTTTTTTTTAAAGCAATGCTTAACATTTTAATGCTACTATGTAATGTTATCTCTAAAAATATAACTGGGATAAAATTAGCAATACCCACTAGGTGACTGTACAAAAGACAGACCTTGCACATTATGAGATCGCTAAATACCAATATTAAAATATGGAGGTATGTAAAAGGTCTTTGCTTAAAAGAGAAATATTGCAAATAATATTTTATTTATTGCAGAAATGAAGAAACAATAGGAACTGACAGCCCTACATTTTACTTTTTTACCAAAATAACTTAAATGTTAAGTTGCAAATGTTGGAAATATATATAATTAGGGCAAGGAAAAATGTTATTATATTTACAAGTTACAGAACCATGTAAATATACTTGCACGGTAATATTGAAAAAAAAAACCAGACATAATTATGCTACAAATGTACATGTTTAAGAACCAGTTTATGTAAAAAACTTAGCACAGTGAAAATAAACAATAATTTAAGAGCTGTCTTGGTTTAAATGAGATATATTGAGAAAAAATAATAAATATATTATGAATAATGTCAGTTAATTCTGACGAAACGTGAAAACATTACCTAGTATATTTCCTTGCTAGCCTAGGCCCTGGCCTATGCTAGCTCGATTACAAAATAAATAATAAAATCTTTCGCAAATAATAGGCCTCATAGGCTACGACCCTACCCTACCTAGCAACGCTAGACCTAGGGCCTAGGCCATAGCCCGAAAAAGTACACCGATCCCGCCGCCAGGCAGTATCATGAGCAAGTGGTGAAAACAAGGGTGAATTTTCTAACTTCTTAAATTTCGTGATTTCTTTGTTGCTGGCCTTGAAGCAAAAAAATCGGTTATATTTTCTCGGCGCTTCATCCTCCTCCTAGGCTATTTTTGGCGTGTCGCATGTCCTCGATCCCAGAGAAATGAAAAATGTTGAGCGCTCAAACTTTTGTGATGACGTCGTGCCAAAGTAAATAATCTACGGAGCACGCGATTGGTCAAATAGCTTTGGCAACAAACCTCTCATTAATATTCATTTTGAAGTCTTGCTGGTTACGTCATTCAGCTGGCTGCAGCTTTGTTTTGATTTCTACGATCGGACTACGAACGATAGCGACAAACAGTGCCAAAAATGCTCCTATTTTGTAATAAATTGCACTATTTTGGAAACGGGGGATCGTTTTCTGGCAAAAGGGGGTTCGCTGAAAAAGGGGGTTCGTCCGAACCCCTAAAAACCCCCCTGGCTACGGGCCTGATAATGGTCGGATTTTGGTTTAAAACATTTTATGTTTTAAATAATAACATTAGATTCAGAAATTGTGTATACTTTCTGAAATTTGACCATGATTGGAGCAGTACTGGCTGAACTGTGTCCGATTTTCTCCTACTACCACCTCCATGCTACTACCAAGGTTTTGTTTACTCATTGTGAAGGCCGTTTAGGCAGCATGCAGGCAACGTCATGCAGACCTTTCTTAACAACTGTTGTTTTGGCGGGAATCGGGCTTTAAGTAATACTTGAACCTTACTACAGACAATTTATTCCTGAGCAGTCTCAGGAGTAAATGTGTGTGTGTGTGTGTGAAGATAAGGAATACGTGCTCAGAGTAGCGCAATGTAGACGCACTTAATACTTCAGAGCTCACAAGTAAATGCGACCTTTATTTTGACCTCAAATTTTTTCAAAAGATAGATACATACAAATGGTTGACAAAATAACATTTCCTGTGATGTGTAAACCTTTGTATGCACAATGTTTTCATAATTGTTTACAATTTTAAGAATTTGTGTGCAAAATAACCGTTGAGAGACAACGAAAGTGGTGATTATCACTTCTGGAAAATTTGCATAGTTACTTCTAAGCTTTGAACTAGCTTTGAAGTAAAAAGAATATTATGTCCTGGGTAAGCATCGTGTGGACACTTGTCATATGTCACGCACTCGTAAAATGTTATGTTTGTCGTAACTTTACTTCAGACGGAAGACCGTCTGAACGTAACTAAGAACATGACATACTGTACAAGTACAAGTACAAGTACTGTACAAGTACATCACAACTATAGTATATATGAGCATACAACAGTCTTTTTCAAATAAAATTTGATAGTGTGGACATAGCTTAATAAGTAGATGCCTTCAAAATTACAATGTACTTAAATAGTAAAAGCTTAGTGTTGACTGTATGCAAAATAATTTTATAAAGTGAGGGAAAACAACCTTTAGATTTACATTGAAGAAAAGCAAGAACTATCGTTGAAGAATATATTTTATTTTACAGACAATTAAAATGACACAATCTATAGTGATCCAAGTTGGGCAGTGTGGCAACCAGATTGGATGTCGGTTTTGGGATCTTGCATTACAAGAACATGCTCAGTATAGCAAACTTGGTAGTAAGGACGATTCTTGGAAGAGCTTCTTCAGACATTCAAAATCAGATGGATTATCAGACAACTTAAGTGAATCAATAAAGGCAAGGGCAGTGCTAGTGGACATGGAGGAAGGTGTGATTAACCAGGTGTTAAAAGGCCCTTTGTCTAAACTTCTTGACCAAAAACAACTTTTGACTGATGTTTCTGGTGCGGGAAATAATTGGGCTACAGGACATTTACATTTTGGCATGCAGTATAGAGATAGGCTAGAAGAATGCGTACGACATGCTGCTGAACAATGCGACTGTCTCCAGTGCTTCTTTTTGTTCCATTCCTTGGGTGGAGGAACAGGGTCTGGTGTTGGCACTTCAATACTGTTGCTATTACAAGATAATTACCCAGATATTTATCGTTTTGTTACTGCAGTGTATCCATCAGCTGATGACGATGTTGTAACGTCTCCATATAATGCGGTCCTTGCCATGCATCAGTTAACTGAGCATGCAGATTGTGTTTTACCTTTTGAGAATCAAGCCCTTATGGATATTACAACAAAATTTGGAAACATGAAAGAAAAAACTGATCAGAATCCTTATGACAACATGAATGACATTGTTGGTAAGATGTTGCTGAATATTACCAGTTCATCTCGATTTGAGGGTGCTCTGAATGTGGATTTGAATGAAATTGCAACAAATCTAGTGCCATTTCCGAGGATGCATTACTTAGTCTCAAGTCAGACTCCACTCAGTCCAGAAGGATCCAGAATTCCAATAAGGAAACTAGATCAACTCTTCACTGATGTCTTCCTCAGGGAGTACCAGATGATCAAAGCAGACCCTAGAAATTCTTTGTATCTTTCTTGCGCTTTAATCTGTCGGGGAAAAATAGAATTGTCTGATCTTAGACGGAATGTCGACCGATTGAGACCATCCTTAAACTTCATCCATTGGAACACAGAAGGATGGAAGACTGGTCTGTGTTCTGTAGCACCAGTGGGGCAGCAGCAAGCTCTAGTCGCCCTCTCCAACAATACATGTATCCATCACAGTATGCAGAATCTGAAAGACCGCTTTCTAAAGTTGTATCGGCGCAAGGCCCATATTCACCATTATACCAGTGTGGATGGAATGGATGATGATCAGTTTTCACACAGTCTTGAAAGTTTGTCATCACTCATACAAGATTACAACAGTTTAGAGAGTGGCAGTCTACCCTCTGTTGCAGCACCCATAATTATTGCAAATTGATAATTAAAATAAACCTCATGATCTGACTTTGTAAATGTAATTTGATAAATACTAAAAATATTAACTGATAGGGTATAAGCAGCACATTAGAAACCAACAAATTCAGTGAAAATGTACATTTTCTTGAATTTTACGAACAATGGACCTTTCTGCCAAGCCTTGTGCCCCTTGGATATTGTTGCTAATTCCACTAAAAGATAGCATTAATGTACATGAATGAATGTCACCTTCGTTAAGTTAATTACTTAATTAAATAAAACACCATCCATCTTCAATCCATCCATCTTCTTTGTTATAATATTTACACTTCTCAGGAGTGATGAAGTAAAATGTTTGTATCTGTATTATATATTTATGCTATTCCACTCTTTAGTACAATATATTTATTTGTCTACGCAAAAAAACCTGGCTTTAAGGGGTAATCCATTATTTTCATCATTTTCACGAGCGTGCAAAGCATACGCTGGTGTGTGTACGCTTTTAAAAAAGTACAAAAAAATGATGATTTGGAAATGTTGGCCTACGTTTTTGTACCTAGCAATTCCCCATGGCAGCCAAAGTTTACTGTTAACTTGCAGCATAAATTCACCAGAAAGGATAAGTTTATCAGTTGTTTATACACAGCTTCATCTTGCATCCCTGATTAACTATGTGTTGAAAAGTATTGTGTACATATAAACAAATTAAAAATACAAGGTAAATGCACTCTAGCTCCGTAAATTTGAATAAACTGTAAGCCAGTATTCCAAGGAACTACAGCTTGACAGCACTGGGCAAATGGGACCACGTGCTTCACTGTGCTGTGGTGGGCTACCTATTTCTTCTCCCTTCTTCTACTTCACTAGGCCTACATTGCTACCTTTTAAATTCAATGAGCCTACATCAATCACTCTATTTAACATTTTATAACACATGGAAGAATTCCATCTAGTCTTTAATTGAATATACTGTGAAAGGTTCTTTGATTTATAGACTGTCATGTAAGTTTCAAAAAACCTTTAGTCTATCATCAAAGAACCTTTCATAGTATATTTTATAACACAATTTAAATATTTGTATTCCATGGATACTCATGATGACATAACTTTTACGTGTTCCCTGGTACTAAATTCAACACCATCACTCCACAATCTTGATTCAAGCCTAAGATATTGAGCATGAGGCAGTAAATTAATTGGCCCTCATCAAAAAAAAATAAAAAAATACAACAACAAATCACGTGCTACTAATCAAGGTGAAACGTTACCCATGTTTTCTTGTGTGTCAATTTTTTTCTAAAACTTGCTTTCTACTTTGTCTCAATATTCAATTATTTTGTCTATGTGATAATAATAAATTTAAACAAAATAAAAGTTAATTAATTGTTGCCTTTTTTTTAAAAATGAATTATTATTAACATAGTAGAATTATATGCAAGTCAAAAATGGAACCTACCACCAGTTTGGCTATTTGGTTATTGGGTCAGGATTGGGCTCATGTTCTTAGATGGGTAGATTGATTCCAAAGTGTCAGTCTATTGTCGTGGTAACCAAACTAAGCAATCAGCGTACCTTAAAACCTTGAATAGAAGCCCATCTCGAATTGAAGGAATTCGAGATGGATTGAAGCGCCCCCCCCCCCTTCCCATTTTAGTTTGCAAAGAAGCCCATCTCGAAAAGAACCCCATGAGTTTCTTTTCAAGATAGCATGGGCTTTTTTCGAGATAGTACAGTACATACACTGTAGGCCTACATGAATTTCAAAGCAACAATATAAATTAAAAACATGCTTGGTTTATACAGTAGTTTAGGTGATTTAATACCGGTTGATGATACAGATTGATGTTACAGTTGCTTTTTATTGTTTTATAGTAATAATTTCCAAAATATACAGCATTCATTTTGAAAAGATTAAAAAGAACCCCCCCCCCCCCCAATTTTACTTCGCAAAAGTAGCCTCGAAATGAAGCCCATATCAGAAAAAAAGGCCTATCTCGAAACGAAGCCCATTCAAATTTCTCAAAGAAAAAAGAAGCCCATTGCTTCTATTCGAGGTTTTATGGTACTGTAGTTCAGTGGCAGCCCGTACAGTAAATTGCAGTGTATGCTAGGCATTGGCATATCTATAGGGTGTTCGAGGGGCATGTACGGGCCCCCCCCCCCTGAAAAGAAAATATTCGCCCATCTCCAGTTGCACCCCCACCCACAAATTATAATCAAGTAGTTAATAATCACCTCAAATCACATTATTTTGCGAATTAGCCCCCTCACCTAATCACCGATCCCCCACTTTACTTTCCAACCCCCATCAGCTCTCTTCCATTTCAAGACCTCTATGCCACTGATGCTAGATAGGCATTTAAGGTCCCGGTTCTTGAGAATAGCATGCGCACATACTCTTGGAAGCACCGCTTCCATTCCAGTGGCTATTCAGACGCCACCACACGGTTGTCACAATAGCAAATTTAAGCTTGGTAGGGTATGCTCTGACTTTCATTGACTCACTAAATACGTGATTGGCTGATATTGAAAACCAGCCATGCGGAAATTCTAAGCAGCTGAGAGTATGATACGATAGGCCCGACTGTGACTTATCCTAGATATCAAAGTAGGCCAAACATTGAAAATCTTTGCTATTCCAAAGAACTGTAGCAATCAACTTGAAAAATTAATGTTTATACTAGAAGATTTTGACTATAAGATATGCAAAATAAAACGGAGAAACTGTACTACAATTAAAAAAATTTGTTTTAGCCAGGGTATGCACTGCATAGCTTGCTTGCCTTGACGGACCGATACTGCTATAGCTCTGGTATTTTATAAGCTTTTGTAGCAGAGTAATTTGTTTGTTTCAATTAAGGGATGGTGTTGTACCTCTCAGCAGAGAGTTTGTCATTATATATATATATATATATATATATATATATATATATATAAAAAAACGGTTGAACGTGTTGCAAATATTATCAGCAGCAAATATCATCAGCAGAGTGGTCAATGGTAAAACCAGAACAAAATAAGCAAATGAGAGGTTCAACAGTAGGTTTGATTGGACATTTATTACTATTTAGTTTCGTGCTACACATACATGGTGCAGCACTCTTCAAATAAAATAGTCTAATGACTAAGATTATAACAGATTGATTAATTGTAAGACTGAGCATGTGCAAAGTAAATTCGTAGTTGAAAGGCTGCGATAGACTGTGATCATTAAGTAATTAACGAAGGATTAAATAACAATGAATGATAAACTTTATAATGGTCGTAAATTGCACTAGAGTTTGGTTGGGTGATTAGGCCTATGATACGAAGGTTTTTAAGAGATATTTGTTAGCATGTCATGTTTAATAGACTAATTTCAACTGAAAACAAGATTTGTTTATCATAAAAACCATACAACTTTGATATCTCTCCATAATAAAACCATAAATACAATGCTGGCCACGTAGACACCCAGTCTATTGATGTTTACTTTAGAAACCTGTCAGCTGCACAAGTCAGGAGTTCGAAATATTATCAAAAATCTTTAAAGTTTCGATAACGCAGGCGAATTAGCATAGAAAAGGGTTGTATAGCGTAAATAAGGCCTAAAATAGGTTGTTTGCCCTTGTGAACAAATTTAAAGAGGAAACGAGTGGATTTTTTTTTTATTTTTTTTTTTTTGTATCAGTTATAGGGACGGAGAGGCAGAATACAGTATGCAATTTTCAAATAGGTTGGAAAGACCACAAATGCTCGTCTATTTATTTTAACAGGGGACCTCCGACCTAATTGGTGCCACTACTGTGAATCCCATTTTTAAGCACAACCTTCTCGCTAACCAAACCAACCACCAGCTTGCATTAAATATCATCAAAATGATAAAATTTACTATTTACATGCTATAATGGCAGGGGTTTGGTTAAGCACATCTTTTGATGACAGTTTTTCTAACTTTTGTTTTCCTCGGCACCCCTGTCCAACTTTTCTGTTTTTGTCGAAAGATTGAAAATAAATAAATAAGTAAATAAATAATGCTTCAACTCATGAGGCCTAAAATGACTATAACCTTTTCCCCAAGAAGGATCCCGAGACTGACAAGATGTTAAGCTAAAACAATATTTTTTTTCTTTATTTGAATTTTGAAAAAATAATTGAAGTTCCTTAAAAAGAAATTATAAACTATTTTTGCATTTTATGGACAAAACTGCGAAAGGAAGGCGAAAAATCAATATTTTCAACCTTAAGATAATCTAACCTCCGTACAAAGTTCATCATAAATAGTAGCGATAACGCCACTGATTGGTTGTTAGAATTAACTATTATGTGCTCTGATTATTCAAATGTTGACAGTCTTGTAATAGTCCTTCTGCAAACCACGGCTGTATCAAAGTAAATAACATACAAGGTGAGAATTGACTTCATAAATATCATTTTAACGCTTAACAAAATATATTTTTTATTCATAGATTATATCTCTTAAGCCGCGTACTTTCTGCGTCGTACGACAAGTCGAACACCGCTTCTTGTGAGGGCTAGACGACGCGACGACGTCTACTGATTGTCGGTGGCAGTCAGAATTGAACAGATTTTCATTAAATACAATCCGTTGCGCGCGCGTCATGGCGTTGCGTTTTTCATTGAATTATCGCGTCGGTCGACGACCGTCGTGCACAGTTAGTGTCATTAAGCCTTACTTATATTTTACAGATATAATCGACATGGTATATATTATTTATTGGCTGATAATGTATTTATTTTCCAGGTAGTGACTGTTACATGACAACAATGAATAAGCTTATGATATTAGTAATTCTATTATTCTGTCACGTATCTAAAGCAGTGAGATTTGAACACCAGCCAATAGACCTTTCAGTACCAGAGAAAAAACGAGTTCATTTTACATGCACTTTCAAAGACATCCCCGACAACATGGAAGGCAAATATGAAGTCATTTGGACTAAAGATACTGACATCGTCAATGAACTTAATGGATTTAATCTAAAGAGGTTTAAATTTGAAAATCTCTATGCAGAAAAACAACACTCTGTAAGAATTGATCCTGTCAATAGAGAGGACAAGGGAGGGTACAAGTGTCACTTACGGTATAATAATGACATCTTGTTGACATCCAACACTGGAAAACTCACCGTTCGCGAAATACCATCAGATAGATATCCACTTGTTAAACTTGATAAAGAAATTTACAGACCCGGAGAAGAGATTGCAGTAAGTTGTGTGTGCGAAAACACAAACCCTGAACCAACACTTGAATGGGATCCAACAACACAAAAACTGCTACAAAGTAGGCCTACAATTATCCAAAAAAATGATTCACTCATTTGGATTAAAGCAACAATAATTGCACCTACTGCTGTCGATGTTTTAGCCCTTACATGTTTATTACACGTAGAAGACGAACCTGTCCCTAGAGATCAAAGTAAACACATCAACATAAATAATGGTGATTTTCAATTTACATCGACTGTTCTTACAACAACAGTAATTCAACATGAGAAACATCGTTCGTTAACACGTACAATAACAAATTATGAAAACGATTCAAACGAAGTTGATTCTAAACAATGGCGTTTACTTGCTTGGAAAATTGGTTTTGCTCTTACCACTTGCGTATTGTTCGTGGTAATTGTTGTTTTGACAGTTTATAATAGGAAAAATAATAAATTCTTTAAAAAGATGCTGAGAACTATGCCTAACATTCAGTTAACTGTATCTGCTGAACAGGGAAATTGTAAAACTACCGATTATCCAGCCTCAATGCTACCAGAAGTGAAATGTGAACAAGAAATTGTGTGTATGTCTAGTAATGCTTATCATGATCAGGCAACGAATGAAACTACCGATGAATCAACCTCATTACATCTGGAAGTGAACCATGAACAAGATATGGCGAGTATGTCTAAAAATGAATTTCATGATCAGGCAACAAATAAAACTACCGATGAATCAACCCCATTAATAAACCGCGAAGAAAATTTGGGGAGTATGTCAAGTGATGAATCTGAGCTAAATGATCGGCAAAAGTACAAAACTTTAAGGCGCGGAAAAAATGAAACTACCGATGAATCAACCTCGTTACATCCGGGCGTGAACCATGAACAAGATTTGCCGAGTATGTCTAAAATTGAATTTCATGATCAGGTAACACATGAAACTACCGATGAATCAACCCCATTAATAGACCGTGAAGACAATTTGGCGAGTATGTCAAGTAATGAATCTGAGCTAAATGGTCGGCCAAAGAACAAAAATTTAAGACGCAGGAAAAATGTTAAAATTAAAAGTAAATTCTTGAAAGATAATATCGGGCCAGGGCCGCCTTAAGTTCGGCCAGCTGAAAAAAATAGTATAAGTTGGCCCAGGATCGCACTGCG